GTTAGCGACCTTGTACCATATGAATGAGGACGAGGATTTCAAGATCGCGGCGGAAAGGAGTCAGGGGAGATAATCAAAATCACAGACACAATTGATCGACGACTCCCGGGAAAAATCGAAAATATGGGAAGTGCGTGTGGTGTGGGGCGGGGGGGAGGGGGGCGAAAACACCGAACATATTTGAACATACTGGGGATCCTGTTATTTGCGTTGATGTATGTGTGTGTCCCAGTGCCCCTTCAAGGAGATCTACGGCGGCTGCGGCATTTACTGAGGCGGACGCCTCGGCAAAGCTACGGCGGGCTCTGTCGCGTCAACGCGTCGCGCTCAAGCACGACCTGGCCATCGGCCAGCGTCGTTCCTACTGGCGCAAAGGGGGGGCCATCGAGCTCATCGAACACAAGTTGGAAGGGCCGCGTTTGCGGTTTTCAAGGAGATGAGGCAGGGCGAGAGCGGGCCGGGGATATATTGGACCGTTCATGGAACGCAACTTCTACGCTGTTCTTCAGAACGCGTTCGGCCAGACGTCAGCGACCAAGGACGCGGTCTACTCGAGAACCGCGCGCAGGCCAAGGAGACGCTGGGCAACGGGAGGGGGGCCAGAGTTGCGTAGTTCCACGACGTCAGCTCACAGCAGCAGCCATTCGACGCACCAGGCGATTCGGACATGGACGCCAGCGACGACGAAGACGGACCTGGGGACGGGCCACAATCAGGAAGGCAGACAGGATCGCCATCGGCATCAGCGCCATGCAGCACCAAGCGCATCGGCAGCAAGCACTGGAGCGTTGGCCTCGTCATCGGTGGAGGTTTCGCCACCGCCGCCAGCCCCTCCAGGGCTACCGAGTCTCTCGGAGGACGAGCCGATGGGGCCAGCAGAGACGCCTCAGCTCACGCCTCAACCGAGCGATGGTCAACCGGACCAGGAGCCAATGCCTACTGCGCCAACAGCGCCAACAGAGCAGCTACAACCATTTTTACCAACTCCAGCGCAATCGCCACCACCGGCACCGACGCCAGCGACGTCGGGCCCAGCAACGTCGGCATCCACGGGATCGACGACACAAGCGCCCACAGTTGCTGCGGCAAGCTCGGGTCTAAGGGAGAGTCGCAGGCAACTGGGCGCCGCTGAAGCTTTTATATTCGCCCGACCTGGAGGGGGGGTCTACCCAGGACCGCCGATGCCAGACCCGAGCGACGACAGCGCCAACGACGAGCTTGTGGCCATGCAGCTCATGCTAGAGGGCGACGACCTACCGTTCGGATGGGAGTTCAACAGGAAGGGCGCGAAGTTGAACGACATCTACGCCGAGATCAGCGCAAGGAGCATGGCGCCTCGCGAGAGAGCAGCGTTCATGGGGGGCAAAAGGAAGGAACTCGAAGAGTTCTTCGGCAACGAGGTCTGGGAGTTCCACAAGCTGACCGGACATGAAGACCCTAAGCGTATCCTGGCGGCCAAGTGGGCATTGGAGTAATAACGACAACGGCACCCCGAAGGCCAAGGCGCGCCCCGTGCTCCAGGGCGTCAACGACCCAGACGCACTCGACGGTAAGGTACCTATGGCATCACCTACAGCATCAAGATTAGGACGACAGCTGACTACGCCACTGGCGGCTAACAACGGATGGAGACATTGGACAACAGACGCGGCCACAGCATTTCTTCATGGGGGACCCCACATGCGAGTACTCTGCGCAAAAGGACCTCGACGCAGCTGACCTCATAGACATCGATCCGGACGCGCTGATGAAGCTGATCAAGCCCACGCATAGACAGGTGGACGCACCACGACGTTGGTGGCAAAGAGCAGTTGATGACCTCAAGACCAGCGGTCTCAAGTAACGCCCACTGGGGCCGTGCCTATTCGTGAGCTACGAAAAGGGCGGCAATTTCGACGGTGTCATCGCACTGCGCGCGGGCGATATGCTTGGAGGAGGTGGCCGCTGGCTCGGAAGCAATTACAGCGCCATCGTCGAGGCAGTCAAGAGCAAGTTCAAGTTCCAGAAGTGAGTCGAGGAGGACTCGATGGAGCACGGTGGCTCGGATCTATATTGGGCGATTCGCCGGTGCAACAAGCGGTCCAACAGCACCGAGATCAACATCAAGATGTAGACGCACGCCTCCAACCTCAAACCGATCGCGATCGACCAGGAGAGCTGTGACAACGACCGTCCACTTACGCCTTAGGAGATCCGACAATTTCGAGGACTACCTGGAACGCTGCAGTGGTCGAGGTTTCAGGCGCGCCCATGCGCGTCAGTATCGGTCAGCAATCACCAGAGGCAGCTTCCTGCGGCAGGAGTGGCGACAGCGAGGGATGTTGACGAGACGCTCAGGTTCCACGAGCAGAATGCGGACGCAAGGCTCAGGATGAAGAAGATCGGGAGGGTCAGCGACGTAGCGATGGTGGCTATGACGGACGCTGCTTGGGGAGCGCGTCTGGACGGATCTTGTCAAGGATGCTATGTGGTTATGACGCGTCGTTCTAAAGTTCTCAACGGCGAGGACTCGACTTTCAGCGTTGTCGATTGGGAGTCTTTCGAGCTCGCAAGTCTTGCGAGATCCTCGCCCCGCGCGGAATCCCGAGCAGCGGCAGCAGGGATGGGCGCGCTGCAGTTCGCGAAGCGGTTCTGGGCGGTCCTCGTCTACAACAACGTGGACATCAACAACGACAGCAGCACCCACTACGGAGGGGAATTAGCACTCGTGATCGACGCCAAGGCACAGCGCGACGCAGCCAAGAAGGAAAGCATCACCAGCTTCCAGGGCAAGCGAACCAGCATCGAAGTTCTAGCACTACGGGAGCGGGTTGAAGCTGCGAAGACGCAGTGGAAGTTGGTTTCCTTAGGGCGTCAATACGCAGACATACCCACGAAGTTGGCAGCGCGGCAGCCATTCGCAGACAGGCTTCGAGCTGGACGACTACAGCTTCAAAGCGATCCCACCCACGACGCGGCCAAGGAGAAGCTCAAGGAAGAGGGGCCGGATAGCATCAAGGGGGGCAGACTGGAGACATCGTCGACTACGAGGTCATCCAGGTCAGCACTCATGCAGTTGGCAGTCTTCGCAACGTGCTGTTGAAAGTCTTTGGATACATACACTGGGGATTTCGACGACAACGTCGAGTGCAAGTACTACGACGAGACAGTGAAGTGTTCGTGGTTCTCTGGAGGTGCCCGGGGCGCGTTGCTCTTCATGATGATGGGTATGCTAGTAGCTATTCCAGTGGCTTACTACTTGCTGCTGAAGTTGGCGGACCAGCGGGGCGTTGCCGCGACCCCGATCCAGACGGAATCGAGCGACAAGTTCGAGAGGACAGTAGAGAAGGGGACGATCAGCAACTTTAAGAACAACGACTACAAGCACCAGGGTATTCGGCAGCGGACGGTGGGCGCCCAGAGTATGGTCACCTACTGTTTGATGGGCGACCAGTGGCGGTTCTGCCACAAAATGAATGCGTTCAAGCGAGCAGGCGAGATCACCATCGAGATGGAGGAATCCAGCATGCAGTGTAGCAAGATGAAATCATCAAGGGATGACCATGCCAAGGCAGGCTTCAGTGAGTGATGCCACGCAACGAGCAGTTTTGTTTTGCGTTCTGTGCCTGGCCAGCTGTGTCTCTTGCGTTCCATATCAGTGGAAGATCGGCTTTCGGATGTCTTATTCCGGGAGAGACCAACCCCGCTATTTCCTTTACCCCTTTGACGGGTGTGGGATATACGTTGTACATCTGTTTGCATGTAGCATAGCAAGAAAATAGCAGAGCGAACACAGCTTGCAAGCACGAGCGGGGGTACTAAGGGGCCTCCGACCGCATCGCACTGTGGCCCAAACCTTTTGCAGGGACCTTGAGTCACCAGCGCAGCGGTGTGAAATCATCCCGATGCTATTCGTTCTCATTCTTTTTATTGCCATCAGAGACATCGAGGGCTTTGGTAAGTTCATACCAGCAGAGTGAGGCACCGCGCAGACCTGAGCGGGACCTCGCCGTCCCTGGGGGGTTGTGATTTGCGACATTGTCGCCACTTTCGACGGTTGCTGGTGGGTCCAGCGGAGTGAGGCACCGCGCAGACCTGAGCGGGACCTCGCCGTCCCTGGGGGGCTGCGATCTGCGACGCTGTCGCCATTTCCGAGGGCTGCTGGTGGGTCAAGCAGAGTGAGGCACCGCGCAGACCTGAGCGGGACCTCGCCGTCCTTGGGGGGCTGCGATCTGCGACCCTGCGGGGTTGCGATCTGCGACGCTGTCGCCATTTTCGATGGCTGCTGGGGAGAAGCTGCGATTTGCGAAACTGTCGTTGGGTCCAGGGGAAGTTGCGGAGGGCCAGCCGAGCGGCGCCCCGCCGCGGGTTCAGAAAATGCGTCGTCGCGTGAGAATTTTGGTTCGAGGGAGCCATGTCACGTCGTTGCTGCCCCGCCGACGTTTCAAGATCATTGCCCGCCTTTTCCGTTTGGACCTTGCTTCGGTGACCCAGGGGTTCGCTTAGTTGCTCATCTCTACCACGTTTTTCCCGTTGATCGGGGACTTGCGAACCTCCCGAATGCCGCTCGCAAAAGTGAATGCGTCCATGTCACGTCGTCGCCCGCGCATCCAATCTCCCAAACTACTCCTGCCCTGCACTGCGCAAGGGTTGGGTACGTCGCCAAAGTAATTTCTTTGACTCCTCGTGCATCTGGAACTGGACTACTGTGTAAGATAATGCTTGGAGTGCAGTCCATTTAGCGTGAAGTTTTCTGAGCTCTGGCCGGGGTGTAATTAATCAGATGGTGGTGGGGATGGTGGTGGCTGCGAGGAACAGCCGCGGCAGAGCGAGGACGACCACGACAGGCACCGCGACGACGGCGACCCAGGACGACGACCACGACGACGACGATGACGTCAACGACGGCGACGACGGCGACGATGGCGATTGCCATAGCGACGACGACCGCGAGGACGACGACGATTGCGGGCGCCGCCGGCGACGGCCGGCGTCAGCGGTCGACGGAGCAGCCTTTGCGCCCAGCTGGACGCCGCGGGCAGCCTCTACCGGCAGACTGCGCGCCCCAGCCTGGTGCCCTCGAGGCCGTCCGCGGACGTGAGCGAGCAGTACCTCCGCACCCTCAGGAGCGGAGGGGCTTTGGAGGGAGCCTCCTCCGCCTCCATCCCCTCCGCATCCGTCTCCTCCGCCTCCACCTCCTCCGCTTCCGTCTCCTCCGCATCCTCCGCCTCCTCTTCCGCTTTCTTCTTCCCCCTCCCCCTCTCCCCATCCCGCCTCGTTCCTGCTTCGTTCCCTCTCCTCCTGCCCTCCTGAAGTACACGCGGACCTTACAAGTGGCCCTCGGCGCCCCCATAGCCGTTTGTAATTTTGGCTTCTGGATTGCCTCGCCGTCGCGTCCCAGCGCCTTGCCGTGGGGTGATTGCAACTATTGCATGTGGCGCACTTGGCATCGTACTTGACGAACCAACAACACACGCCCATACCCATAGGGGGATCGGAGAGGGCTATGGGTGCGTGTTGTCGGATGGGGGTCCCCGCACGAACGGGAGCGTTCCCCAGGGTCCGACAACCCGCACCCATACCCATGGCCAGTCCTCCTCCCAACGAACTCCCTATGGGTATGGGTGTGTGTTGTTCGTTCGTCAGTACTCCATTGGCCAAGTCTGGGGCGGACGGTGCGCAGCACGTGTGAGTCGGGCTGCTGTTCCTCGGAAGCGGGTGCCGGTTGGGCCTCGGCTCCTTCCTGCTCTCCGGGGGCGGCGTCCGTCCCAAGGGGGGAGGCCCTAGCTTGGCATCGCTCGGACGTGTGCATTTTTCCTTCGACGAGGACCATCGAGGAGAATCCTCGATCATTTGGCGAAGAAGCCACGCACGAAACCGAAAAAGGCATAGGGAATGGACGTCCGAGCGATGGCCAGCTGGCGGGCTGTGCCCACCAGAACCATCCACATCTGGGCGTACCTCAACTTCGGGGCTGCAGCGGGACACTACGTATTCACTTACCTGGGTTGGTCCCTTACTGCGCTTCGTAGGCGGCGTCCGTCCCAGGCAGATGGAGGTCCCGGCGGGCTGTGTCCAACGAAACCTTCCTTGCATGGGTGTGCTTCAATTGTGGGGGTGCAGTGGGGGCGGAATCGCTTGGTTCGGTAATTGAACCAGTGTGTTTGGTCACTTCGCTCCTTTCGCGCGCAATAGTTTAAGCGTTCCTTTCGCTTTAGTTCGGTGCGGCACTCGTGGAGGTGCACCACGAACACTGGTCGTTGTACAGGCGGCGGATTTCAGATTCCCTGCGTGGCCTGGCGCGGGCGGCGGTTGTGAAACTATTCAACGCCATTGGTGAGTGGATGTGGCTCGGCAGCAGGGTTCGGGGCGGGGGCAATTGCTGGGGAGGCCCCATCCTTCCCTCTCTCGCCTTCCCATCCTATGTACCCTTCCCTCCTGCCCCTCTCCTCCTGCCTCCTGCCCTCATGCCTCCTTACTCCTCCTGCCTTCCCTTTCGCTCCGCCCTTTCGGATTTTCTTCCAACTGTCCGCGTCGCTTCACTCCGCCTTGGATGGGGACAAAGGGGGAGGAGGAGAAGCAGGGGGAGGAGGAGGAGGAGCAGGAGGAGAAGGAGGAGGAGGAGGAGGAGGAGGAGGATGGGGAGAAGGCAAAGCGGGGGCGGGAGTGGGTGGGGGACGCAAAGGGTGGAGGAGGATGAGGAAGAGGAGGATGAGCAATTCGACGAGGAAGGGGGCGGAGCGACGGCGGGGGGCAGGAGGACGAGGCGGATGTCGAGGACCGGGGCTTGGCGGCGCGGCGCGGCGGTGGCGGCGGGGTGGGCGGAGAAGGGGGGAAGGGAGGGGGGCCGGGGAGGGGGGGGGGGGGCGGCGTTTAGGGGCGATGAGGGTGTATACCAGGGCAGGGGAGGTGAATGATGATGACTGCGGTGAAAAAGGATGGGGATTGGAGGTGTGCGGCGAGGAGGAGCACGTGGAGGAGGAGGGGGAGGAGGAGGGCGGAGGACATATCGCTACGTCTGGCTGGTCAGACAGGGACTCCTAATCTCTTCGGCACATACATTCACATAGCGTCCGACACATTCAATGCGGATTCCATACTACTGAGGGAGGGTGTCGTTAGGAATAAACATTGCGCGATCGCGCAATCAGGCACACTCAGACACAAGCGGGCACAACACGACATTCCCAGACACATTCAGACACAAGCAAATATGCTGAAACATACTCAGACATTTCAGACGCAAACAAACATAACAGGACACGTTCAGACACCCCAGACACACTCAGACATGAGAAGACGCATGAAGACATGATCCGACACGATCAGACAGGACCAGACACAAGCAGACACGAGCAGACATAAGCAGACGAGGTCAGACACAAGCAGACGGGATGGCCCATTCCCACTCACACTTCTTGTTGCACATTGGAGTGGCTCAAGACAGCTTTCTCTGGCTTGTTCCCATACGGTTGTCCATTCCCGCCGTGCTAGGTTTTATACTGGGCCTTGATTATTGGTCGGTATTGGCTTGCGAACAAATTTATAGCATAGGTCGCAACGAGGATCCTAAGAGCGCGGCTCTTGTGGAAGAGGAAGTTCTGGGTGGGAGGTGGAATAAACATTGAGAACTTTCCAAGGATAAACGTCAGGCTCAAAGAACTCCCCAATGGTATTTTCCGACAAACGATCATTTACATTTCTTTTCTCGCGACCGTGAGCGGCAAAGACTTGGCTGAGCAGGCTCGCATCAAATCTGGGGTCCAAAGCGGCCCTATCGATCTCGAGGCCCAGACCGTGGAGGAGAGCCAGAATGGTTCCATGGACCCAAATAGGACGTTTTGTTTCTTTCTTTCCTTTTTCAACGCAGCGAGGATGACGATGCAGGTCCACTTTCGAAGCATCTTCGCCTCGGCGTCGCCATCGAAGGCGCCCCCCGAAGCAGCGGCCCAGAGAAAGTTGGCTCGGCAGACCTTGGCTCGGGAGACAGCGGCGCCAACAAATGTTTGATCCGAGAGATATTGGCGCCGAAGTCAACGGCGCAAAACAAGTTGATTCGAAATGCAGCAACTCGAAAGACATTGGCGCAGGTGGTATCGCCATTGGTTCAAACATGCTCCAGCCACCCCCGAATACCAACATGTGTTTGATGGTGGCCCGCGGGCCCGCCAAAATGATGTGCAAACACTGCCGTTCCCCAGCGGACTCGCAGAGTATCTCTTCCGAGAGTTTATGTTTATTTTTCGTCTTGCGAATAGACGGGGGTAGATGACGCAAGTGCGGTTCAGCTCGGCTGCAATAAATCCGGCTGTTGACGGTGAGGGTCTGGATGCATTGCGAGAGCTTGTCATTTCGAGGCCCTTGGCAAGAGGAGGGACCCACAGGCCACACCTACGAGTAGCAGCCGCTCAGTCTATTATCGGGAGTTCATGAATATACTGCGCCCCTGTGTCCCGCTCTCCCTCCCCTCCTTCCCTCTTCCCCCCCTTCCCACCCATCGCCGCTCTCTTCCACCCCTTCCCTCACCCACCCCCTCTCTCCCCCATCCCACTCCATCCCTCTCCCTCTTCCCTCCCCCTCCCTTCAGGGCTTTCTTTGAGATGGTCCGGAGGGTGATTTTGTGAGGATGTTCTGGGCGAAACCGCCTTTGTGGGATTCTTCTTCCGGAGCGCCAGATCCGCTGAAAACGGCATTAACAGCGCAAGTGTTGGCCTTATTTCTTCGCGCGCCAGGGGAGTGGATGACGCGAAGTAACTACGCAAGTTCCCGCAAGTTATTTTTGTTGAGGCTTCGCGTGTGAGGACGTCGCCGTCGTCCTCCCTCGCTTTTGCTTACAACTAAATCCTCCCTGTCGCACCCCGAGACGTGTCGGTAGGACGGGCCAGGCGTTTCGGTTAAGAGTTCCTCACGGTTTATGATGTTGAAGCTTGCAAGCTGCAAGTGCATCGCGGATGGAGGGCGGGTGGTTTTCAACATGTGGCCCTCGCTTTAGCGCCGCGCACATTAGCTTTCAAAGGTTGCGAGAGCTTCACGGGTGGAGGGCGGGTGGTTTTCAAAATGTGTTTCTCGCCTTCGCGCAGCGCACATGTGTTTTTCAAGTTTGCAAAAATTTCACGGACGGAGGTCGGGTGGTTTTCAAAATGTGATTATGTCGTGAGCGCCGCGCACATCCGTTTTGAAAGTTCGCAAAATCCCAAAAGTTTCACGAACGGAAGACGTCTGTTTCAAAAAATATGGTTCCCGCCTGAGCGTTGCGCACATTCGTTTAGAACAGTTTGACAGATTATGATGCCTGTCCGTCCCAGGAATGGTGATCTGGCACGATCTAGGGCTGTCAGGGCGCAACAGTCAAGTTGATTCGCGTTGTCGAAGCCCCAGGAGTGGCGTTCTGGCGTGACTAAGGATGGTCAGGACGCAACAGTCAACTAGATCTGCGGCGTTGAAGTCCAAGGAGTGGTGTGTTGGCACGGTTGAAGACTCTCAGACGGTGTCTTTCCAACGGAGCGCCTCCAACAGTGAGCATATATTTTTGTCGGGGCCTATGAAGAGAGGGAACGCGCAGGGAGGGTTCATTGCAACATCGTTGAGGCGTCTTGGTTTTACAATGGTTATCGTCCTCCTCCTCCTCCTCCTCCTCTTCCTCCTCAATCCTCCTCCTCCTCCTCCTCCTCCTCCATCCTCCTCCTCCCCCGCTCCTCCCCCTCATCATCCTCTTCCCCCAATCCTCATGCCCCACCCCGCGCTCTCCTGCGTGCGCGTGCGGAGGAGGAGGAGGAGGAGAAGGGAGATGGAGGGCAGGCTCCTCCCCCTCATCATCCTCTTCCCCCAATCCTCATGCCCCACCCCGCGCTCTCCTGCGTGCGCGTGCGGAGGAGGAGGAGGAGGAGAAGGGAGATGGAGGGCAGGCATGGAGAATAATAGTGCGGAGGGAGGATATGTCGGACGAGGATGAGGAGGGAGAGGAGAAGGGAGGACAGGAGGGGGAGGAGGAGGAGGAGGAGGAGGAGGAGGAGGAGGAGGAGGAGGAGGTAGGAGGAGGGCTGCACTACCCATGCAGGAACAATCCTCCCTCCCTCCATTCTTCTCCCCGACGAGACTACAGCGACGACAACGGTACCGACGACGTTGACGAGGCAGGGCCAGGAGGCGGGGACGAGGCAGGGCCAGGAGGCGGGGCGAGGAGAGGGCTTGACTAGACTGCCCCGCGAGCTGCCGGGGCCAAGGAGCTCGGGCGGCGTGTCTTAGCAAGCTTCGAGTGCAAACGCCGACATGTGCCAGGTGAGGGCAGACCCTCCTCACCTCCTCCGCGTCCTCGGCCCTCCTGCTTCGATGAGGGGGAGGAGCAGCAGCAGCAGCAGCAGCAGCAGCAGCAGCAGCAGCAGTTGCTCGTTTTCCTCTCCCTCGTCCTCCTCCTCTTCGGCCTTGCTATTCTTACCCTGTCCCTCCTTCGCGTGCTCCACATCCGTTCCTTCTTCTCACCTCCTCCTCCTCCTGCTCCTCCTCCTCCTCCTCCTCTTTCTCCTCCTCCTCCTCCTCCTCCTCCTCCTCCTCCTCCTCCTCCTCCTCTACTTCTCCGCATTCTCCTCCACGACCTTCCCTCCTCCTCCTCCTCCTCCTCCTTTCCCTCCTCCTCCTCCTCTTCCTCCTCCTCTTTCCCCTTCATCTTCCCACCTCGTCTATATCCTCCTCCTCCTCCTTCTCCTCTTGCGGTTCCCCTCTCCACCCGTCTCTCCTCCTCCTCTTTCTTTTCCCCTTCTCATCATCGCCCCCAGCCATCCCATCATGTCCTACCTGCTCCTGTTCTTGCTCGCGTCCCCCACCT